ACACACACACACACACACACACACACACACACACACACACACACACAGTGACAAACCAAACAGAATCATGGTGTTTGTCAAGGTTCTCTTATACTAGTTTTTATATATTCTCTACACATTTCCTTGACACTAAATCTGACTAATCTAATCTAATCTAATCTAATCTAATCTAATCTAATCTAATCTAATCTAATCCAGGCTAAAGATGGTAATTCCAGTCAAGTTGAGATGTTTTGTAAATCATATAAAGAACCAGATTAAGATTATTTGTAAATACTTTCCAACCTTCCGTTGAATACACTACAAAGACAAGATATTTCATGTTGAAATAAAAACCTTAGTTTTTTGTAAATAGTCGCTCATGTTGAATTTGATGCGTGCATCATGTCCATAAAGCTGGGACAGGCTCATGTTTACCACTGTGTTTCCTTTTAACAACACTCAGTGAGCACCGGGGGAACTGAGGACACAAACTGTTGAAGACACACTGTTGTAACWAAGTATTTGTGTTTGTTATGAACTAATTATTTATATGTGTTTCACCTTGATGCTGTCCAGTTTATCTTATGATAACTACTTTAGGCTGTGTTCATCTGTTTGCCCCAGATGTCAGGACTCCATCAACGCATGACCTCTCTTATTTTTGATAAGGTAGCTCTTGGGCTGACAGCCCTGTTATTGGTTAGGTGGCTACATTTGTCGGACTGTGATTGGTTGTAAACTGTCACATGATGTTATCATGATGTATATTATTGGCTGCTCTCCGCTGACGAGTCAGCCACGACTCGACAGATTTCCTGATTGACCTGTTAGTTGTTGCTCAGATTAAATCATCTGACGACCCTACACGCAGACTTTCTGTGCGTTTATTCCAACGTGTTTCTGCAGTCTTGGTAAAACTTGTCACCACACGTTCATTAACTGGACCTGAGACAAAAACCAGGAACAGATTCAAGTGAAGAGATTAGACCATACAACCCAGGTCTGGCACAAGCCAAGCTGTTTCATTTCTCCTTGCTGGAGTCTGCAGCAGCAGCCCTGAACACAAACAGGAAGTCCTGGTCTTTTTTACATGCAGTTCAGAGCCCGGTGCGCCCCCTACAGGCCTACGGMTGSATCACAGGCACTCAGACACAAAACCTGTCCWCATGTYTCATTAATGGTTTYATGTGTTGTGAAAATGTTTCAGGCACGTATCTAAACTATTTTAATCAAGACATAATAGTTAAACAATGGATTATAAAAGTCAATACTTAAAAAGGAAAACTAAGAAAATGGTGAAGTGCTTTTAGAATCAGTAACTAACCTGACTAAYACAYTTCTTCACTGTTGTAACACGTGCACAGTTTGGTTTGGCATCATGTCGCTGAACTAAGCTTTAAAGTTGCCCACAGCACGGTAACTACCACCCCCCTCAGARAGGCTGGCTTTTAAACTTTGTGCTGACAATAATCCAGGYAGTCCTTTTCCTGTGTGGCCCGGAGGACACGACGCCTGGGATTAAAATCAACAAATAAATCAATCTGAAGTGTAGACCGGTCAGACCACAGTCCATCAGAGAAGACGGCAGCAGTTCTGGCTGTTCATACATGTCTTTCACTGTTCACAGTGGTGAACACAGTGGGTCACTAAGTGCTAATTAAACTCTGACAGTAGTTTTCTGAAGTGCCCCTGAGCCCATGTGATAACACAGGTATGTGTCAGGTGTCCAGATTCTCTGACTGGAAATGATGACGTCATTAAATTCCTTGCAGTTGTAATTCAGAAACATCCCATAATCCAATAGTTTAACTGTATTATTACTGGTGCAGTTGTGTGAGCCAGTGAATGTCTGAGTGTTTCAGGGATGCTCCTTTAAAGCCTCACCTGTTCACCTGTGGGATGTTTCAAACAGGTGTTTTAGAGCACTCCTCATCTCTTCTGTTGCTCCTGTCTCCGATTGTTTCAACATGTTGCAGACATCAAATTCAAAATGACAGAATGTTTCTCTGATTGAACATTAAACATACTGTCTTTGTTGTGTATTTAATTGTGTATTTTATTTTTACTGATGTTTTGCACAACATTCTAMCTTCACAGGAACTGGGGTTGTACTCTTGAGCTTATAGTTGCTGTTCAGTCGACTCACTTGGTCCAACCTACATGACTGAACGGGAACATAGTCTTCTGTGTACAACTACTGCTGTCTGAAACAGAGGAACCAGGTACAACACATGGCTGCACAGCTGGAATCAGTGAAGAGCAGATATTAAACTGAGGAATGACGGTGATGATGGACAGCCGTCACATTGAAACAGGGATTAAAGGGCTCGACAYAYGAGGAGCGACAAACTACAGCGATTAAGGGCTGTCATCACAGCCAGGGTGAAACCCGACACACGGGACGTGATAGTGATCGTAGCGTTGTGAATCACGCTCTCAGGTCGCTTTGATTGGTTCTTCTGCTCTTGTAAAGGTTATTGTTGGTTCACAGAAAAGGAGGTGTGCATTATGGACGTGTAAACTAAACAAATCTTGCGATGCTAATGATACTGAAAAACAAACACACACCAAGATACAGTTTTA